AAGTAAGAAAGTGATTGATGATGTCTTGTATCTCATTATGCTGCACTTAATTCTCTTAAGACATCTCTCTCAGATCTTGCCAGTCAGTTATATACAGCTCATCTTATCAGTGATGAAGTCAGAGAGACTCGTAGCATGGAAAAGTTCATTACAGAGTTCAAGGCTAGTCTTAGTTTTATGAGGAAGTTACCTCAAGTGCAGGAGCACTGTCAAAAGTTCTTAAGCTCATTCATTACTGTAAGAGGCAGTTATGCTAATGCAGCAATAGCTTTAGGTGAGGACTGGATTGAAGCTATTAGGAATGAACTGGGATTTGATTTTCATATTAATATTGATGCTTAATAATAATTTTGATTGGCTTCTTATTATTGCTTAATTTAAATAATTTTTTAATTTTTAAAGAATAATTCAAAAAATTAATTACCATATAAGATGATTTGTTGGTGGGAGTTTTCTTGGGCGGTTTTGTGATGACTAGCTTATTGGCGGTTTCTAACAATTTAATTATATCCCCACCCTTAGGCAGGGTTTTACTTAAGTGGTTGTGGTTCGTGGAGAACATTATTATCAGAGAAAGACTGTACCTTTTCTGGAAGATTGTATTCTTTATCACCTGGTTTAGAGACTGGCTTAATGAAACATAGTAAAGCCATGTTAGCTAGCTGCTTTTAACCATGGTTTTAACTAAAATTAATGTGGGTGTGGTCACACACATGAATGGAATTATTGCTTGCGGATTTTATTTTGGCAATTTTATATAAATCCGTCAATCCGCCAATTTAAAATCCCCATCAACATTTCATCTTATATGGTATTAAGCAAGAAGAATTTGTAAAGCACAATAACAGTGTGTGTATGTGTTCTTGTATAATACTTGAAATTCTTAAAAGAGTGGAAATCTTTATCTTGATATCGAGTAATCTAAGAATCCTTGTTCTTAAAGCAACTGATACTACTACTACACAATAAAGGACCTAATAATAATAATAATAACAATGATGATAGAATGCTATAGGAGTGATGTACATGTACATGCAAACAGACAGACAGTATTTGATATACTGACTTGTCCTTCACCGTATAGACAGTAATGAATACATTAGTCTTAACCTGTTTGAACTTGTATGGGTTCATTGAGGAAGAATATCCTCTGACGCCAGTGAGTGGGTGTATCGTGTGGACTAGTACTGAAGTACACAGGATAAGAGGGAACCTCAAACCCAATGACAAAGTATCCAACAAGACCCTACAACATATTAATAACAAACCAGACCTTAGGGAACTTGTTACATGTACATGTACAACATTGATCAGTACTAAGTTACTAACTGCAGTCGCAATGCACTGAATGCATTTTGAGGGTTGAAATTTGTAAATCAGTCAAAAAGCTCAAAGACACAATAATTGGAGGTGATTTGGAACCACTTTTCAGAAATTGCCTCAGTTTCAAAATGGCCAAACTCAATATGCATCAGAATTCAAAAAAAAAAAAAACATAATTATGGCGACTTCTGAACCATTTTTCAGAAAAAACCTTTGCTCTTCTTTAAAAATTGACTCGTTATAAAAGTGCTGACAACTCAAAAATTATTTGTTGGAATCAGCTCAACCTTTCTACATACATACATATGTAGCAAAAGAACATCAATATGTATCAGAAAATGTAATAAGAACTGGGGGTGACTTCGAGGCCATTTTAAATAAAATCCATTGGCTATAGTAAAAGGTATTTTTTGGAAAATGGCTGATTTAAAAAAATGTTCATAACTCAAAAAATACTTGTCAGAATCAGCTCAAACTTTCTATATAGCATAAAGTCATTGATATGTATCAGAAAATGTAATAAAAACTGGGGGTGATTTCGGAGCCATTTTTTGGAAAAAGCATGGGCTATAGCCTTGGTAATTTTCAAAAATTGGCCAATTTTTTTAAAAGCTCATAACTTAAAAATTATTTGGCGGAAACAGTTCAAACTTTCTACATAGCATAAGGAGATCAATATGTATCAAAAAATGTAATAAAAATTGGGTGTGATTTCTGAGCCATTTTTTGGAAAAAAGCATGGGCTACACTATAGCCTTGGGTAATTTTCAAGAATTGGCCGATTTTTTAAAATACTCATAACTATAAAATTATTTGTTGGAAACAGCTCAAACTTTCCACATAGCATAAGGACATCAATATGTATCAGAAGATGTAATAAACACTGGGGTGATTTTGGAGCCATTTTTGTATAGCATTGTGTATTCTTTAAAATCACACCGTCCAAATAAGACCAATACATGTATGTACATGTACATGTAGCAACAAGAACAGCTAGTTGTTAGTACATTGTAATAAACTGAGTCAGTTAATACAAATCATCAGTTAGGGATTCAGTCCCAAAAGATGGTTAATGATATAATGTTGTATCATCATTCTTAGTTAATACTTGATTTGAAAGAGATGGCATTAGTAATATGCAGGGATTCCCATGGAATTTCTGGCATAATGTTCCTGCAGCTTCTTGTCAGTGGGTTATTAAGTTACGTATGGGGGCAACATCCCGTACTCTAGTACAGGATTTTGTCTAAAATTTGCTCAAAAATGAAAAGGAGAGAATTCTCGATTTTATAATTGTTCCTGATACAAATACATGTTTCTATGTTGTGTACAAAGTTTGAATTTATTCCAATCAAGTTTGGATTTTATATGAATTTTAAAATTTGCTCAAAAATGAGGCCAACATCCTGTACCAAGAATTTTGCAAATTTCGTCAAAAATGAAAGAAAAATTTTAATTTTTTACAATTTTTCTGATACGTATGCATGTACTTATGTTATGTAGAAAGTTTGAACTGAGTTAGATGAAGTTTAGTTTTTTTACAAATTTTTAAAAGGTGTTCAAAAATTGGACCAATGTATAAAAATGGCTCACAAATCCTCATTTCCATTTCTGATGCATATTGATGTACATGTACTGTACTTATACTACGTGTTTAACATACTTTATGCTGCCTATCCTGTGGTTTTGTTGGAATGCAAAAAAGTCCGAGAGGCAGAGAGAGGGTGTGGTCAATCCTATGGGTCATGATATGTGCTTCAGTTTAAGGGGTCAAAAGGTCATGGGAACACACAAAGGTCAAGTCAACCTCCTGAATACTGTAAAAAATACATTGCAATATAAAATTAGTTTAAAAAAATTATTTTGTAACTGATTGACCTATAAAATTCAACTAAAAGAGCAATCAATAGAGGCACTGACACTATCAATAGAAGATTTTATTTTTATCTAAAAAGTTCATGACATCATAATTACATCACACAGTATGTTACTAACTTTAGCTTCAACACAACACCTGCTAACATCATCTCCCTCATCTGTTTCATGAGGGCGGGGCTCCTCGTAAGTAACGGCAACAACTTCAATGAGCACCTTCCC